CGAGCTGGGGCGTCTGTGACATGCAGAAGCATCTCCACTTCTCCTGCGGGGCTGTCTCCCTCACCTCTACCCACCAAGTCTCTCGCTACATTTTCTACTGTGACTCTTGACATTCGCCATAAGTGAACCTTCTTTTCTGAAGTGATTTCATCTTCTTCACTTTCTCTCCTGAGTCTGACAGTCCCCCTCTGATATCCTCTTTCCATCTGGCTATTTCACCCAATGGAGGAGCACTGCTGGTGTCCCACCCAGATGCCTCTAAGATGCCCTGAGGGTTGGCTGACGGGGGTCACAGCCACCTGGGGATGGAGGAGGTATTTGCTCTCTGTGTTGTTTTAAATGTTTTCTTTAGGAGGAGAAACAGATTTGAATCCGGCAGCCGCTGCTCCTACTGGAACCAGTTTGCATTCTCTTAAAAAAGAGAAACACTGGGGGTGCCTGGGTGGCTGTCATTAAGCATCTGCCTTCAGCTCAGGTCATTGTCCCAGGGTCCTGGGATCGAGCCCCACATCGGGCTCCCTGCTCAGTGGGTAGCCTGCTTCTCCCTTTCCCTCTCCCCCTGCTTGCGTTCCCTCTCTCGCTGTGTCTCTGTCAAATAAATAAAATCTTTAAAAAAGAGAGAGAGAGGGAAACACTGGAATATGTAGAATAAAAGGATGAGAAATGGCCACATGTATTCCAAAGAAAGTGTCACAGGGCTTCAACGGGGAGTGGTCACAGACTATCTCCACCTTGAGAGAGGAAAGTTCAAATCAAAAGAGACCCCATGTCCCAAAGCTTGTTCCTATTGTAAAATTAAACCGAATGAGCATGCTGTGATTTTGGCCTCTGATGCCGGAAGTGAATAAGACGCACAAGACGCGGCTGACTGTTCAGGAGTTAGAATTTTTAGTGCAGAAATTGTATTATTTATTCGTTGACTTTATGACATCGAGGCAGGACCACAAAAAACAGAAACGAAGAATTTAACCTGCAAGATGAACGTCCCCTGTTGGGTTATTTTTCATTCTTGAGGTCCAACCGTGACAGAAGTGCCTATGGAAGCAGGTGAGGAAGAACAAGGGACACCGTGTGCATCCCTGGTAAACACTGTGTTGGTATTGGAATACTTGTCAGTATCAGTATTGATATTGGAATAGTAACGAATTACTACTGAATAGTTAGTAGCAAGTAAACAAATGTTGCAGAAAGAGGACAAGAAGGCTATGTCACCATAGAACCTGTCCCTAGCGAGTCTCCCAAAATATATGGAAGACCTTTTGAAGCTACAGACATTCTTACTGGTCCGATCGGCTGGCAGTCCGTTGATGCCCTCCAAGACTGGGTGAGGGCTGAAATGCAGAAGAGTGACTGGCTGGCAGCTTGTCGTGACACTGAAGAAAATATCTGAAATCACCTAATTGTCCCACGTGGGGCAGGAAATGGAGTACATGCAATGTTATGTTGTAGTATCACCAACAAAAATGAGAAAATGGAATGGACCTATTTGGACAGTGGTGGACTTGTGTATGGAAGGAAGACAACAGGTGTACAAAATGTTTCCCATGAGAAACCAAGGAACTTACACTGATTTGACAGTGGTTGGCTCACGTCCCCACAGTCCCAGTGTGCCCGTCCCCTGGGCACTCCTTCCCTGCCTTGCTCTACTGGGCTGCTACTTTAAAGTTTGCCCTCTCCAAATGTGAGTTTTTAGTACAGATCCAAAGCTCTTTCGATTTTATACTGCTTACCTCAGTACTGCAGGGTTTGCTTTTTTAAAAATTCGTGGGATCTGGGGCGCCTGGGTGGCTCAGTTGGTTGAGCGACTGCCTTCGGCTCAGGTCATGATCCTGGAGTCCCGGGATCGAGTCCCGCATTGGGCTCCCTGTTCAGCGCAGAGTCTTGCTTCTCCTGCTGACCCTCCCCCCTCTCATGTGCTCTCTATCTCATTCTCTCTCTCTCAAATAAATAATAAATAAAATCTTAAAAAAAAAAATTCGTGGGATCTGAACACATCAGTGGGAGTAGGCTGTGGGGGAGAGCCTAGGAAGATGACCGCCGGTGGCCTCCATGGCTGCCCTCACTTAGCTTCTCTTCTCCAAGTAGTCGCTAGAATGATACCAGTTACTGTAACAAACAGGCCCAAACAAATGACTCAAACACAATAAAAGTTTACTTCTCACTCAACATAAAGTCTAAATTGGGTGTTTCCACTTGACAGCCACTTTCTTCCCAAGTGACGTTGCCACAAGGACGCTGGCTCCTTCCACCCGGTGACCCCGTCTGCCCCAGACAGGTGCAAGGGGAGGAGCCTAGAGGAAGTGGGGCACGTCAAAGCCCGGACTTCAGTCATAGGCCACATTCACCCACCAGGGAAACCCAGTCCTTTTCTGTGTCCCAGGAACTGGGGTTGGTGAAGAGCAAGCAGTAATCACCCTGAGGTCAGTTAGGGGAAGGGAAGGAGACAAATAAACAAAAGGGCTGGAAGTTGGATATGATTCCATGCAGGTTACACAGCCCCTTCCAGCATCCTATGTGACCCTGGCAGCATCATATGCCACCTGGGAGCATCATATGCCACCTGAGAGACTGTTACTGTTGTCCCAGCTTTATACTCCAGAAAACCGAGGCTCAGAGAGTCCAGTTTAAGGCCAGAGTTCAAAACCTAGCTCTCCAGGGCGCCTGGGTGGCTCAGTCGGTTAAGCGTCTGCCTTCAGTTCAGGTCACGATCCCAGGCTCCTGGGATCGAGTCCCACATCGGGCTCCCTGCTCAGCGGGGAGCCTGCTTCTCCCTCTCTCTCTGCCTGCTGCTCTGCCTACTTGTGTTCTCCCTCTCTGTCAAATAAATAAATAAAATCTTAAAAAAAACAAAAAACAAAAAACCCTAGCTCTCCAGCTATCAGACCCTATTACCTCCAGCAGATCTGTTTATGCCAAGGCCAAGTCAATGTGCCCCGAGACACCCGAGCACCATCTGAACATTCCCACCTCGCCAAATGGGACTGAAATCCACACACACAGCAGGGCAGCTCCAGAGGGCTCCCGTTTGATACCAGGAAACTGAAGCCAATTCCCCCACATCCTCATTCTTGTCTCGGTTCCTTTTCCAGGGACCACACCTCACCCTGCCAGCCAAAACCAGACCCCAGACAAGAAGGCTCAGGATCCTGGGACCTCCACTTCTGCCAGCGGGACCACACTGCCTGCCTCCCGGCACCTCTCTGGAGCTCGGCCTCCTGGTATCAGACCAGATTCTGGCCCAGCTCGGCCTCAGACTCATCCTTGGAGGTCAGCCTCTGGAAAGAGTGCTCAGAGACCTCCCCAGTAACCCCTGGCACTCACACAAGCACCATCCTGGGGCTGGTCCTTCGGCCCCACCAGCTCACACACCCAAAACGATAATATTCTCTCTTCCTCTCTCTCCTCACACACACGCATGTTCTCTCTCCTCTCATTGAATGTGGGAATTTCTATTACTTAGTCTCAGGCACTTGTTGGCTATCACTAGGGGAGGACAATGGTTTTGTCCACTCTTTAGGGGAGCTGAGTCTCCTCACTCCCCATAAACTGCCCTTTCCAGTATCTTGGTTCAGGCAGCTCTGGACCTTGCACTCGCCGTGGTTCCCTCAGCTCCAGACTTTGGGATGAGGCAGCAGGGCCACGACCACCACCGTAGACTTTTTTCATGGCCCCCATGTTGGGGCACTGGTTTCTGCTAATCTGACTAACTGGGAGGAGGATGCAGAGCGGCCCACATTCCCAACCATCACTTCTACCCAAAGGAGATGAGGTGGTTTAAATAAAAGGTACAAGAAGCCACTGAAAATAAAGGTAGTGAACCAAAGTCCAGCCACGGTGAGTAGGAAGATGATTATCCCCCAGACCCCAGCCTGGGGGGAACTGAGGCCATTAAGCAGCAAAAATGCACTGGAGCCTTCTAGCAGCAAGGCAAGGGGCACGGGTTTCTTCTAATTGAAGACAACTTAGATCGCTCAGGGCAGAAAAATCCTTCTCAAGCACCAAATTTGAAAAAGGAATTTGATAGTCTGCTTATTGTGGAAGGAATGTTGAAGATGGTTTCTCTGAGGAGTTTGGCAAAGTGTGCAACACAGAGCCTTGTCTCTGGTGATTCTACATTCAACTAGTGTTAGGGTGCGGTTCTGTGCAGAATGTCTCCTGGGGGCACAAGCCAGAGAGGCCAGACCATTGAGAGAGCCTTGGCAACAAGGACAAAGGCTCAGCAGCATGCAAGTCACAGTCCAAGACTCTGACGCGGCAGGTGTCCTGCAGGTGGTTTCTTCCTCTCCTCTGCCCCATGTTCCCAGACCCTGGGGCGCAATATAGCTTCAAGATCATCTCAGTCCATGTCTCTGAGTGTTCTAAGGAGAGTCCTCTCCCCCGCCCACGGCCCAACCCTGGCCCCAGGGGTTTTCAGGAGAATCTCCCACACCCTGGAAGTCAGGCAAAGTCCTGGTGGGGAGATGGAGATTTTACAGAGATTTCATAAACTATAAATTAAAGTAATCCCCAGGTTCCTTCCCAGTTCCTTCCCCTTCCTGACCCAGCACCAGCATTTCACACATGACCCAGAATGGGATGGGAATGGGGACATGTGACCGGGAGAAACAGATCCGTTCTTTCGCCCCTGTCCATCTCCAGGTGAGGCTAAAGAAGATGTTGCAGGTGGCTCCTGTCCGTGGATCTCAGGTCTAACCCCCAATTCCAAACTCTTGTGTGTCATATGCCTTCTTCTGGGAGGACACACATTGGCCCTGAGCTTACCTGCCGGACACTCTGACACTGGGATCCAGGCAATCTAACCCAACCAAGCAGGACTGGGAGGCCCAAAAATGGTCACCACGTGACACCTGGCCTTCAAGACCACCTGCCTAGGTAATGCCAGCCCCTGGAGAGGGGAATAAGAGGGGCCTGAGTCACCAGCCTCCTAGTGATTACTGTCAGGCTTCCGGTGGCTACCAATATGCCTGAACACCCACCATAAACACAAACACATGATCCTGTTCTGGTGATGCACAATTTTATGTGAGAGAATGTCTTCGTTGTCTATTTCTGCACAACAGATCATCCCCCCAACTTAACAGCTTAAAGAAATAAACACTGATCATCTCACACAGTTTCTATGGGTCGACAACTTGGGAGTGGCTTTGCTGGGCAGTTCTGGTTCTGGGTATGCAGGCACTGGAAGATTTGACTGGGACTGGAAGATCTGTCCTCGGGATGGTTCATACACATGACTGTTGGCAGGAGGCTTCATTCCTTGCTGGCTGTTAACAGGAGACTTTGATTACTCCCCACAAGGACCTCTCCACAGGGCTGCTGGGGTGTCTTCACAACTCAGCAGCTGGTCTTGCCCAGAGCAAGTCACCCGAGAGAGAAAGAGAGAGCGAGAACAAGGGGGAAACCACGTGCCTTTTATAACCTAGTCTCGGAAGTCACAGCATCAATCCTACAGCTTTGTATCCATTAGAACTCAGTCACTGAGGCTATTTTACACTCAAGGGAAGGAGATTAGGCTCTATCTCTTGAAGGGGGTTATCAAAGAATTTGTGGACATAATTTAACAGGAGGTTTCCTAATTCAAATAACTGCAAGACCTCTCTCAAGACAACTCTAAAGATTCTTCAAGTGATGTCGATCAGAGAATTAGTTCATGGTGGCTCCCAGGACCCTCAAGCAACAGGAAACTTCCAGTGAGCTAGGGAGCCAGGCAGAGGAAGAAGACATGGGTAAGAGAGGAAAGGTGTTGCTGTGGTGTGGCTTTACAGGGGGGATGTGTCATCAGAGGGCAGTCCCATCAGCTCTGCACTCTTGGATTTGACCTGCCAGCTCATTCCATCTTAACACTTAGCAATTCAGCCTATCCAGGAGCCGCCAGGCATGAAGATCACTCTTCTTTCCTCCTTCCCTCCCTTCTTCTCTCCCTCTTCCTCTTTTTTTCTTTCCTCAGGTCAGCTAAGAATGATTTGACAATAAACTTAACAATTTATCCGGAGAACTATAACTGGTGTCTTACTGATATTACCCCAGTTCATACATTTCTTATTGGGGGAAAATGAAACAGACACTGGATTTTCTCTGTCAGAGGCTATGTCTGCAGTCAGATCCTTTCATTTCTAATAAGCAACACACCCAATGTCCATAAAGAACTCCACTGTACACAGACTCATGTTAAGTAGGAGTACACCTTTGATGAAAATCAAGGGAGAGTGGCGCCTGGGTGGCTTAAAGTACTCTTAGATTAATGGTACCTCCAAGAAAGAGGGGAAGGGGGGCGCCTGGGTGTCTCAATCGTTAAGCGTCTGCCTTCTGCTCAGGTCCTGATCCCAGGGTCCTGGGATCGAGCCCCGCATCGGGCTCCCTGCTCGGCGGGAGGCCTGTTTCTCCCTCTCCCTCTCCCCCTGCTTGTGATCCTGCTCTCACTGTGTCTCTCTGTCAAATAAATAAAATCTTTAAAAAAAAAAAAAAAGGAGGGGTGCCTGGGTGGCTCAGTCGTTAAGCGTCTGCCTTCGGCTCAGGTCATGATCCCAGGGTCCTGGGATCGAGCCCCGCATCAGGCTCCCTGCTCTGCGGGAAGCCTGCTTCTCCCTCTCCCACTCCCCCTGCTTGTGTTCCCTCTCTCGCTGTGTCTCTCTCTGTCAAAAAATAAATAAAATCTTTAAAAAAAAAAAAAGGAAAAAGAAAGAGGGGAAGGAAAGCAAAGCAAAAAAACAACACAATGAATAGAAAGTGTGTAAAATAATAGAAAAAGAACATATCAGGAATGAAAATAAATGCAAATGGACTAAGCTCTGCAGATAGAAGACAGATGATCAGATGAATATTTTATGATCCCATGCGCTGTTTCCAAGAGATACCCTTAAAACCTACAGATAGTCAGTAGGGACTTTATCCCTTTTTGTTCCTAGGGAACAAAACTAAAACACAATCTTCAAGGGCAAAATCACCAGGTGTGTGAGTGCTGTCCAAATTTTGTAAGTTAGGCTTGTTTTTGAGTGTTGAGATTGCTAATTAAAGACAGCTCTCTGCAGCATTGTGCCAGATGCAGTATTAGTTTGGAAAATGTGAAGAAAGGCCCAAGATCATGGTTGGGGTTGATGAGGTACATAGAGCATACAGACATCTTTATCACTGAACCATGTCTGCATAATGAGCCATGGAAACCTCACCTCCAGATTCTCTTATGAAGATTCTACGAGTTGACACAAGTAAGACTAAGTGTCAAGCACCATGCTATGTGCTCATAAATAACAGATATGATCACAGGCACAGGTAAGATCAAATATTCCTCAGGCTCAGATTCTGAACGCAAACAACACTGGCTGAACAAAACATTTACCCTATAATCCTAATTACTCTGGGCTTCATAAGCTGCACCCAAAAAGACAAGGAACACTGAGCTCAAGGATTGTCCTTGGATGCTTTTCGTTCTTCTGTGTCTATGGGAATAAATATTGTATATATATGTAACTCATTACCAAAGACTGTTGCAGGGGTTCTTTCCATGATTGAGAAAAGGGCCAAGGAATTCCTGGAAGTTTCTCAAATTCTATGGGAGGGTTTTCTATTCTAGAAATGAGGGTAGAGTGCCACCATCTTGTGGTTGTTTCACACAATTTCCTTTCCGGAAGCTCTCCCTACTCCCCGGAATTTAAACAGCCCATTCCATTTCCATAGATCCCCATTAGTGTTGCCATGAGTAAAAACTCTGGGTTAATTTACACCAAGATGACATAGTGAGCCACAGGCTGGGCAAAATAAAAAAGGACTAGATGCTATAGAGTATGATCCTTCCCAGTGAATGGACAGTTCTATCTACACAGAGAAAGAAAAGGCCCCAGGTGCAACATGACTTTCAAGGCTGAACCTGGAACACACCCAGGAAACCCGAAACTCTCCATTCAGACCTGCTGCTCATGCAGGACACTTTCTCAGCTGGAACTTTCTGGGAAATCTGTCTTGCATCTCACCTCCAAACTAGTCTCTAATCAAACTTTGGGTGATGGAAAATAAGAGTGTCATCCTGGCTTTCATTCAAGGCTTCTTAGGTTCTAGATTCTACATACTAGATCCTCCAGTCTTTTGTCCAACTACTGACCAGGATGAATCTTACATTTCTAGCAGTTCCTTCTTTCGTTGCTGGCTTTTGCTTCCATGCTCGTTCCATCCTAGAGCTCTAGATGACCTACATGTTCTTCTGTGACTACCTAGAATTCCTTCTAGCCGGGAAGTCTTCCCCAGGAACGCTGGCCCAAGTGGTCTTCTGGTCAGCCTCTCACACTACTGCACCTCCTCGCTTGCTTATGTTCAGTCTCCCGGGATCAGAAGGTCCCTGAAATCAGAGGTCACAGGTTAGTATCATCACTGTGTGTATTACTCTCCCAGATCTCTGCATCGCTGACTCCCTTGCTTAAGATCTCTGCTCAATGTTGCTTCTTCACTGAGGGCCTGTGTAAAACCATGCCACCTTCTGTAACACATCAGCACCTGATGCACTACACATTTACTTGATTTTTTTATCTCCTAGAATGTGAACTCCATGATGGCAGTGACTTACTTGGTTTACTACTGTATCCCTAGCACCTAGCTTTCTAAGTGACATACATACCTACCTGGCATGTTACAGGCACACAAAAACCTTCTTTTTTTTTTTTAAAGATTTTATTTATTTATTTATCTATTTATTTATTTATTTGACAGAGAGAGAGAGAGCACAAGCAGAGGGAGTGGCAGGCAGAGGGAGAAGGAGAAGCAGACTCCCTGCGGAGCAGGAAACCAGATGCAGGGCTCCATCCCAGGACCTCGGGATCATGACCTGAGCCAAAGGCAGATGCCCAACCAACTGAGCCACCCAGGAGCCCAAAAACCTTTCTTTCTTTCTTTTTTTTAACAAATGGAAGAATTAACTCATTCTGTAGTTTCTTGAATACCCAGATTCCTCAACCTGACTCCTGAACATCCTGATTTCTCATCTGTAAAGGATGCTGGATCACATAGTGTCCAAGGTGCTCACTAATTCAAAACTTACCTATGTTCTCAGGAGCCCAAAAAAGACTAGCTGAATTCGTTTGTTTAGTTCGGGTTCTGAGAAGATGAGTGGAGGCAGCTTTGGTCTCATTTCTCTGCTCCCTCCTCCCATCACCTGCCACCACTCCATCTTCATGTCTGTGAGGTGTCGTCAGAATAAAAGGAGCGCCCTGGGCCTAATGCACATATAATGATGTCAGCTGTTGGGGCCACCCCAGTACCTATAAGACTGAGCTGGAATGATACAATCAGGGTAGTAAATCTGAAGTTAGGAAGCTCACCAGCTTGGGGCACCCCAAACTTTTTCATCAATAGCATCTTGCCTCCTTCTCTAAAAGGTAAGCAATGTCCTTCACAGTGCAAAGTCAGACATTACCAGGCAGTGATGGGTGGCCGAGGTTTTTCAAAGAAAAAGAGAAGGAAATAACACCTAGAAAGCAGCAATGGGAAGCAAGGAGGACAGCAGCCTTTATCACCAACCCAAATAACGTGTGGGTCATCACAGCATTCATAGCAGAAACCAGAATACATGTAGAATTGAATTAGAAGGAAAATATTGCACACCAAAATTTGCAGACTACCACTAAAACAGTACTTCGAGGGCAATGCGTATTTAAGAAGAAAAGTTTAAATGAATGAGCCAAATGAGGTACCCATAATTGGCAAGCTTACATATTTTCCAGGTTCCAGCAACGTTTAATCAGGGTGAGAGACGATGAACCGTGCATCTACTACCACTGGCAGTAGAAAAATGGAATGCATCACTGTTTTACCGTGTAAAACTAATCTGCGCTAGAGGTGATCTGTCTACGCGGGTGAGTTAGTGGCTGAAGTGGTAGAATTAAGTTATGGCAGCAGGGTGTATAAAAAAAGGCAGTTTCGGTAGATTCTATGGGAGGCAATGGGAGAAGTGGGACTCACCTGAGAACAGGTGCAAGGAAATGTCGTCATGCTATTTATCATAAAGGGACAAAAGAACATGAAACACCACTAACATTTGTTGTGTCCCTACTATCTGCCCAGTTCCACCCCGGTGTCATACCCTGCCCCGAGCAGATGTTCAATACAATGTTTGTTGAAGGGATAAGTGAATCCTCAGTGTTCATTCCGCAGAAGAAATGAAAGCTCAGGAAGGTGGGTGATTCACTTAGGTCACATTGTAAGTAGTAGAACTGAGGTCTGAATCCTGGTTGACAGACTGATTCATATTTATTGATGCTTAACAAATCATCCCGAAATTTAGTGGCTGAAAACCACAATATATTATTTCTCACAATTCTGTGCATAGGTGGGGCTCAACTAGGTGGTTCTTCTACTGGTCCTGTTTGGAGTTGCTCATGTGGCTGCAGTCAGATGGTGGCAGGGGCTGGAACACACAAAATGGCTTTACCTAAACGTCTCCTTTCTTGACAGGGACAGCTGCAAGGCTGGGCTGAGCTGAGCCGCTGGGAAAACTGGACCTGTCCATAAAGTATCAGGGCCTCTCCTTCTCTATGTGGTCTCTCCAGCCAAGTAGCTGAATTTCTCATACGGTAACTCAAGGCTCCCAAGAATGCAAAAGGCTGAGGCTTGGCACGGGCACAGAATCACTCCTGCCACATTCTATTGCCTAGAATGCATCACAGACCCAGCCTGGTTCCTTGTGGGACTACACGAGGACCTAATGTCAGGAGGCATGGATCATTGGGGGTCATTTTTGCACACTAGCTACCACGGGTGATCCTGAGACACCAAGCCCTTAATCTTCCTATGACTTCATGCCACAATGAGCACCTACAAACCGAACATGATTGGATACTCTGCTTTAGGAAGAACATCCCCGGCAATGGAGAGGAAGGTGGCTTAGAGAAAGGGAAACCAAAAGTTTTGCAAAAGTCCACTTTGGTGGTGAAGAACTGAACCTCGGTAAGAATGAACCCAGCCCAAAGGGAAGGTATGGTCTCTAATATCACACACTGCAGAAATGCCCATTGCGGTCAGGATCATAAAGTATTGGGGAGATAGCTTAGTACAAGAAGTGGAGGCGAAGAAGCCAAAAGATTTTTAGTGTTTACCCCACATCCCATCTAATCAGGAGTGTATCTCACCAGTGGAAGTGTGGTTTTCTTCTGTCATTTCTGAGTTAGCATACTACTCCAGTACAGCTCCTATATAACCAGAGGACTCAGCTCTCTCCCAAGTATGACTGGCTATCTTCCAGCTCAGTGACTCTCTGCCTTCTTGTATTTAATCCACAGAAATGTATGTTTATGTAACTTATATATATACTCTTAAATTTGTATGTGTACATGTGTATCTTACATTCATATGTATGTTTAGCTAAAGCAAAAAGTTTTACAGATCAATACTGTATGTGACATACTCTTATTTCCCATTCTCTTTCATCCTATTTTTTTTAATGCTGGCAAAGAATGTCTAAATTAATTCTGCAATCCATTAATGGATTCTGACTTCTCCTTTGAAAACTTCCACTTTAGTAGATAAGCACCTGTAACCCCAGGAATATTTAGCATTAAGTACAGAAATAATGAAAAAAATCAGTCATAGCATTAATATTTCCCATTACATTTTGGAATCATCTGCTTAAGTTGATATTTATAATTTAAGAGAATTTAACATATTGATGTAACAGATTAATTTTGCAATTACACTTTAAAGTGTCAGAGAGTAATTGATTCAGACCCATGACCTTATGTAAATATATGTAACAGAATTTAATCACATTTTAAGCAATATTGAGATTATGAGATTTTAAGATTCACTGTATTAAGAGTGAGCTCACGGGGCGCCTGGGTGGCTCAGTCGTTAAGCGTCTGCCTTCGGCTCAGGTCATGATCCCAGAGTCCTGGGACTGAGCCCCGCATCAGGCTCCCTGTTCAGCCGGAAGCCTGCTTCTAGTTCTCCCCCTCCCTCTGCTTGTGTTCCCTCTCTTGCTGTGTCTCTCTCTGTCAAATAAATAAAATCTTTAAAAAAAAAAAAGTGAGCTCACTACTTGAATTTTGTTTACCAAATAACTGAATTGCTTAAGAAGAAAATATGTTAAATGTATAAATTCACTTTAGTTATGAGAATATACAGAATAAAAATCCCCTTGAAATGATTTTATAAGGGGCGCCTGGATAGTTCAGTCGTTTAAGCCTCTGCCTTCAGCTCAGGTCTTGATCCCAGGGTCCTGGGATGGAGCCTCGCCATGGGCTGCCTGCTCAGCAAGGAGTCAGCTTCTCCCTCTGCCTTTCTCCCTGGCTTGTGCGCGCGCGCGCTCTCTCTCAAATAAATAAAATCTTTAAAAAAAAATTTTTTTTAATTACCAGTATATATACCACTGTAGGATATACAAGTTTGGGGTTTAAAATTCTAATATTAATTATTAAAGCATAGGTAATTTCAAAATAATCGCCAGGATGCCCGAAACCCGCCCTCGAGGACATGGAAAAGGAGCTCCAATTCCCTTGGAGCTAACTGGGGGTTCCACTGGGCGAGCAACACGTGGCCCTTCCAAAGGAACTGGTTCTTCTTGTAGAGGAACCAGAAACCGACCTAGGAAGAAGTGAGATCGTCATTCTTTTCTACTTTATCGCCTATAATAAACATTTAAAAAAAAATAAAATACAACCGAAAAGCGCGAAGCGGGCCCCGAGGAGCCGTTTCCTCGGGGTCTGCGCCAACGCGCCCCAGGCCCCGCTTCGGTCCGCGGGGGCAGGGTGGTCCCCGAGTGGGAAGCGGGGACGAAGGGGTCCCGGGGGGCGTGGGGCGCAGGGAGCGCTCCCCGGCCCCAGGTCACTCACGCCGCGGAAAGCGGGCTCGGCAAGCTTCTGTCCGGGAATGGTCGCCGAGACCCGCGCGAGGCCTCCCGCCCGGCGCTCGCCGAGCTCTGCCATCCAGAATTCCTATAATGAAGACCTGAGGGGTTGGACTATTACCCGGGAAAGCGCCTCCCCGACCCGCTTTGCGGCCTGCAGGGCCGGGCCCCATCCCGCGCGTCCCCGGCAACCACGCCGGCGGGCGCCACAGCAGAGGCCGGAAGGCCGCCCGCGCGCCCGCGCTCCCCCTCCCGCGCTGCGGGCGATACCACCGCGGCGGTCCCCTCCGGAGGCCCGCAAAGGTATCGTCCCCGGCCTCTGATTGGCCGGCGGCGCGGGGGGCGTGGCCTCCGGAGCCCGGTTCCGCGCGCCAGAGCCCGCTCGCCGCATTGCGAGCCGGGTCAGGAGCGGACGCCATGGTGAGGAGTGGTTGCGGGTGGGATGAAGGCCGAGGTTTGGGCCTGAGTGCGGGCGGGAGCCCTGGCCGGGGTTGGGGCCGGGGCCAGAGCCTGCCCTGGGAGCCGGGGCGGGCGAACGCGGGGACGGCGCTGATGCTTGCGCCCGGCTCTCTTCCAGGTGCTGCTGCACGTGCTGTTCGAGCACGCGGTCGGCTACGCGCTGCTGGCGCTGAAGGAGGTGGAGGAGATCAGCTTGCTGCTGCCGCAGGTGGGTGAAGGCGGCGGTGGGCTGGCCGGCTGCGCCGCAGCCCCTCGGGCCCCGGGGCCCCAGCATGCACCGCGCGCTCCCACGTGGCCGGCCGCGCACTGGGGGGTGCGCTGGGCCCGAAAGCTCCAGAGCCGGGGGGGTCCTTACCCGCGTTCGTGACTAGAGTCGCGTCGGGAGCATTTAGAAGTAAGCCCCCCGGACTCCTCTCCGTACGATGAAGCCGACCAGGATTTAGGGCCTGTCTATAATCGGCTCATTTATGAAGCGTGCGGTTGGTTCTCACCTACGACCAGGGCTGGGAACCGCTGCTTTACTGCGCCCTAGAGGCAAGAGCGAGGGAAGAAAACCACTCATGCTCTGTTCTCCTCCAAGGTAGAGGAGTGCGTGCTCAACCTGGGCAAGTTCCACAACATCGTTCGTCTCGTGGCCTTTTGTCCCTTTGCCTCGTCCCAGGTTGCCTTGGAAAATGCCAACGCTGTGTCCGAAGGTGAGTCGGCCACAACCGAGTATTTTAGGGAGATGAGCGGAGGTTTGGTTGTTGCTGATCTTATCCTCTGGGGGGGGGGGGGTTGTGATTGCATTGTCCTTTCCTTGGCTAATTTGTTGTAAGTCAGGTACGTGTTGGGCAGTATTTGGTGTGTACAGGATGTGGTTTAAAACAGAGCCCAAGGTCTGGGGAATATGGTATATACATGTTTAAAGTGCACAATCCAGGACTTAGGCTTTGTGGGTGGTAGATGATTCTTAAGTGCAATTTGGTAGGTGGTTCTTTGGTCATTGTTGAAGTTAATTGGAAAAGGCAATTTTGATACAGAAGAGCCAAGGAAAAAGGTTTGGCCCCAGGACGTGTAAATCAAATACTAAATACTTGTCTCCATAGTGCTCCTGGGTATGTTTAAGGTTTCAATTCTGTACTTCACACATGTGCTGTTGGACCAGAGTCCTGTTCCTTCCTTGGTTGATGCAGGCTTTGCAGTGATGACTTGAGTCTGTCAATCCCCTGAGTGCAATCACTGATGTCTCCATGTCGCTGAGCGAAGCCTGAAGCAAGGAAGGATGTAGGCATGCCATCTTAGCATGCTCTGTGGGACCAATGTGGGATCAGTTTGTCATGTAATCAGCGGTTAAGGGGACAGATCCCTTTTATGATTTAAGCATTCTTCAGCATGTTAGTGGGAGCTCTGTTCTTTGCCTTGAGGTGTTGTTCATGAGGACCTCCGCCTGCTCTTGGAGACTCACCTGCCATCCAAAAAGAAGAAAGTCCTCCTGGGGGTTGGAGACCCTAAGATCGGTGCTGCTATACAAGAGGAGTTAGGGTACAACTGCCAGACTGGAGGCGTGATAGCTGAGATCCTGCGAGGTGGGACCATCTATTAACAGTCTTGACATCTTTGACGGGGGATCTGGAAATTTAATCAGGGTGCTTAAGGTCACTTCTGGGAAGCAACCCATGGGTGCCGGAGCTGGTTTAGAGCCTTCTCTTGCTCACTGTCTTGCCCTCCTCCAGGGGTTCGTCTGCACTTCCACAACCTGGTGAAGGGTCTGACTGATCTGTCTGCTTGTAAAGCCCAGTTGGGGCTGGGACACAGCTATTCTCGTGCCAAAGTTAAATTTAATGTGAACCGGGTGGACAATATGATTATCCAGTCCATCAGCCTCCTGGACCAGCTGGATAAGGACATCAATACTTTCTCCATGCGTGTCAGGTAAAGTGCCCAAGTGACCCCTGAGAATGGGGTCTTTGGCCTGTGGTTTAGCGAATTTTGAATGCTGAAATCAGGACTAGCTCCTGTGGGTAGAACAATGTGGGGTGGGGCCAAGCCTCCCAGTGCTTACCACAGGCTGTGTTCTTACACTGACTGTACAGAAAGAGGAGGTAGAGTAAATCCACCCATATACACCCCAGCCCAGGCTCTTTGCCTGGTCTGTATTGTGAATGGGGGGACATGGAGTTGAGGTTTTGAATTGGACTTGATCCCTTTTCTCTGGGCAAAGAATAGATACGGAGAGGGCTGAGGCTGTAGCTTTGAGACCTAGCCACTGGGCAGGGAGTGATGGTGGCTCTTTGCAGGGAGTGGTATGGGTATCACTTTCCTGAGCTGGTGAAGATCATCAACGACAATGCTACTTACTGCCGCCTTGCTCAGTTCATTGGAAACCGAAGGGAGCTGAATGAAGAAAAGCTGGAGAAGCTGGAAGAGCTGACGATGGATGGGGCCAAGGCTAAGGCTATTCTGGATGCCTCGCGATCCTCCATGGGTCAGTACAGCCTAGTGGCCAAGACAGTTTGGGGCTGTGACTATCTGGCCCTGCATTCACACTGGGTGTCCCTTAGGCATGGACATATCGGCCATTGACTTGATAAACATCGAGAGCTTCTCCAGCCGTGTGGTGTCTTTGTCGGACTACCGCCAGAGCCTGCATACATACCTGCGGTCCAAGATGAGCCAAGTAGCCCCCAGCCTCTCGGCCCTAATTGGGGAAGCGGTGCGTCATGGGGGACACCAAACGGGGCTAAGGCGTGTGACAGCATAGGTCCATACTGCTGTATTTCCTGACCCACTTCCCCACTTGTACTTGATGGGGTGCAGCAGAATTGTGCAGTTGGTAGATGGGCAGTTGCAGCTTCTCCAATGCCTTGAATCCTTTTCCAGGTAGGTGCGCGTCTCATTGCTCATGCTGGGAGCCTCACCAACCTGGCCAAGTATCCAGCGTCCACAGTGCAGATCCTGGGGGCTGAAAAGGCCCTGTTCAGGTACCAGTGAGGGCACCTGCCCACACTCAGGTGCCACTTCTGGTGCCCACTGCTTGTTTGGGGATCACAGTGATGGCTGACCAGGGCTCCCTGACCCGTACAGACCTCTGCTATGGGGGTGATGGCCAGTCCTGGTGTCTGAGTGATTCCCAGGGCCCAGCAAAGGGACCAGATTTCCAGGTCAGCGACATTGGATGCCTTCCCTCTGCCTCTGGGAGCTGTGGGTTGGCATGAGGTGGGGTCAGCAGCCTGCGGCTCACTCTGGACAGAGGGTACAGGGGAGGGGAGGAGCTGCCTTGGCTAGTAGGGTTGAAATTTCTGATCTTAAAACTCCCCACTAAATATTCTTCTCCCAGAGCCCTGAAGACAAGGGGTAACACCCCAAAATATGGACTCATTTTCCACTCCACCTTCATTGGCCGAGCAGCTGCCAAGAACAAAGGCCGCATCTCCCGCTACCTGGCAAACAAATGCAGTATTGCCTCACGAATTGATTGCTTCTCTGGTATGGGTGGGGGGGGGCTTGGAGGAGAAAGGGGCTCGGGGGGGAGGGAAGGCTAACTACCTAGCAGCTTCTACAATGATGGCAGTATTTTTCGTCAACAGCAGTTCACCTAGTGAGTGTTGATACTTTGGGTCTGAGTGAAGCTGAGGGTAGAGGGAAAACGGGCTGGGGAGTAGCTGGCCCTGGAGGGCCTGACAGGCTTTGTTTATCCACACATACACACACACATCTAGAGGTACCCACAAGTGTATTTGGGGAGAAGCTTCGAGAGCAAGTTGAGGAGCGGCTGTCCTTCTACGAGACCGGAGAGATTCCACGAAAGAATCTGGATGTCATGAAGGAGGCAATGGTTCAGGTCAGTTGGGGCTTTGCTGGGTGGGGGGAGGACCAGAGCTGGCTGTTGGAGGTGATGAACTGGCTTAGCCTGACCCTGTAGAATGGAGGTGAAAAACTGATTTAATGAGCCTGATCCGATGAAGCCAGAAGGGAGGGCTGGACAGCCTGAAGTCTTCAGGGCCTCTTGAGCACCTTTCTTTGGCCAGGCAGAGGAAGCGGCTGCTGAGATGGCTAGGAAGCTGGAGAAGCAGGAGAAGAAACGCTTGAAGAAGGAGAAGAAACGGCTGGCTGCCCTGGCCCTCGCATCTTCAGAAAACAGCAGTAGTACCCCGGAGGAGTGTGAGGTCAGTAGGCAGACCAGCTGTTGGCCCAGGGTGAAGACCCTGGATGTAGGATTCTCAGCAGCAGAACAAAGGATGTGCTACCTCAAGCCATGGTCTTGAGTCCAGGCTTTTGGACTGAAATAAGGACCTGAAACATCTCAACTACCTCTTGATTCTATAGGAAGGAGATAGGTGCTGAGAGAACTGGCTCAGGAGCTCAGAGAGCTGGTTGTAGCACACCGGGTCCCTGGGCAAGTGTTCTGTCCTTGGCTGCCTCCCAGGAGTCCTCAACCGGGGGTAGTGTAAATCCCTGTTCTGCGCGTTCTCAGCCTGTGTCCGGAGGCGGTGGCGTTTCCTAGTGGGGCTTGGGGCAGGGAGGTCTCCATGATGCTACCTCGGGGTTCTCCCCCATTCCCTTGGATTTTCATGGAGTGCCCAGTTTGTCAAGTAGTTTCTCAGGGTCCCCTTTGCAACATGGCATGATGGTTCTATTGTGGGGTCTCTATAAGCTATTTCATAGGCTTAGATAACACATTCTCCCTTTCTAAGTGGGAGTCACCTTTGGGGTGGATTTCCAGTGTGTTAAAAACCATCCCAGAAACACTGGGCAATTTTCACATCATTTCTACTGCTTTCAGCCCCAACTACTTAGTTGCTAGAATTT